CTAAGGATCTCACTGATTGGCATATCAAAGACAGCCCAATCCGACACCTAGTGCAGTATCATAATCGAGTCTAGGGGTCAGGTGTAACATTCTAGTTTTGCCTATATATCTCCAAGGTCCAGGGCAATACTGGAATTCTGGTATGGTTCAGGGTTTCAGGAAAGCACATACTGCATGTACCTTAGGTCTCACCCTGGCAGCTGAGACAGGTCACCCCAACCAACTTGGCAGCACATTAGTGTCAGCCTTGGCAGGATAAATCTCCCCAAATCTATCAAACGACTATGAATATTCCAAACTAACACGAGTCTCATATGTGTTTAATTTAAGGGTATTACACATAAACACACCACAATAACATGAATCAAATATGTACTTTATTCATTTACATTAAATGTCATAAGGTACATCATACTGATTGGAGCTAAGGGCATACACTGTCTAACACTAAGGACGTGAGAGATGGTGGAGAGTGAGTCTAGGATGTGGGTTTGGGAAACTTGGAGCTGAAGGGGGTTATTCTCTCGGCTAATGGGGGGTAAAGTTCTCTCCCTAAGCTAGATTGTGTGTCTAGAATGTGAGAAAGGGGGGGGGGATTTATAGATTTTTTAGAAGGGTTTTAGAGGGGAATGGAAGGCTGAGATAGGGAGCCTATAAAGATCAACAGTTGAGGTTTAAAGGGTAATTGGAGGGAGATTGATTTAGGGAAGGGGGTGTTAAGACARCTTTGAGAGAGATCCTCTCAATCAATCAAGACATTAAGTGGAAGATTTCACCAATTTACCKAAATTGGACATTCCAAGTTTAGGTGATTCGCTTGATTGATTGGAGGCTCCTAACTAGTCAAATCTAGGATTTTTAAGATGGTTCTAGAGGCTTAGAGGAAGTATCTGGTCGTGGGATGTCCTAGGTTCGAAGTTGTAGTGAAGAGGATTCTAAACGGAAGGCCCATATTGAGTTTAGCTTCAGGTCTCAAGATGGAGGGGTTAATGATGTTAGAATCAAACGATCTTAGTATCGTTGAACTCAGAGTTTTGAGATCTATCCATCTATAAGGTTGGATTTCATATTTCATGTGGATATGGCTCAGGATAAAAATGATCCCGATCGGACGATCAAAATCAATTTCGACTTCGRATCTTAAGATGAAGGCGTAAATGGTGTCGGATTTGGGCGATCTTGGTGTTGTTGGGTTTGGATTTTCAGTTTATATGTACCTATGGTTTTGGATTTCTGATTTGACATGAAATAAGGTTCATGATCAAAATGAGTCCGATCAGACGATCGAAATCGGTTTCGACTTTGGGTGTTAGTCTAAAGGGGTAAATAGTGTCAAAATCGGGTCATCTTGGTGTCATCAGATTTGGACTTTTGGGATCTACATACCTATGGTTTTGGATTTATGATTTGATGTGAAATGAGGTTCAAGATCAAGATGACTCTAATCGGACGATTGGAATCAATTCCGACTTTGTCTTAGGATGAAGGGGTAAATGGTGTTGGATTTAAGTGACCTTGGTGTCGTCAGATTCAAATTTTTGGGATTTACGTACCTATGGTTTTAGATTTTTGAGGCCCCAACTTTATAAAATTCCAAAAATGCCCCCAAGTCGGCTGAGAGGTTAGTTGAAGCATGCTTGAAGCTTAAAGTGCTACAGAAAGACTGAAGGGTGCAAAAATGAGGTGTCTACACACACCTTATAAAGAATAAGTTTTCCTCCCTTTCTATACTTTTCTTCATCAAAGAGAAAGATAGTCTCCTAAATTCAATATCTATGAATCAAAGCATGCATTCAATGACCTATCATAATGGATATGATTTTGGCAATTTGCTACTTGCTTAAGTTCATAATGTGCCAAAATTTGCAAGATACATAAGCGGGATTCTTCAACTTAATAAACATGAATTTTCCCTACTATGTATGACAT